GTTAAAGATGGTAAGGAAGACTTTACTTAAGAGGGACTATGGCAATGGGAGAGAGATTGGGCTCAACTCTAAATACAAGGACAGGTGGAGATTCACAGGCAAGGAGCAGGGTTGGGGTCAATGGATGGAAAATTACTGAGAAGAAACATCAAGGCCACGGGACTCTTGATAGACTGACTCAACAGGATCCTTGCTGAAGGCAGGCCAGGGTATTAAGATATAGAGGGTGGGAGATGAGGAATTTGATCAGATATCAAGATTATCTACACTCCCGTGTTCATAGCAGCAGTATCTACAATAGCCAAGACATGGAAACAACCTAAGTGTCCATTGACAGAGGAGTGGATAAATAAGTTGTGGTGTATATAAACAATGGAATATTATTCAGCCATAAAAAGAAGGAAATCCTGCCATTTGTGACAACATGGATGGGCCTTGCACACATTATGCTAAGTGAAATAAGCTAGACAGAAAAAAACAAAGACTGTAATATCTCATATGTGGAATCTAAAACGCAAACAAACAACCCAAATTCATAGAAAAAGAGATCAGATTTGTGGTTACCAGAGGCGAGGACTGTGGAGTGGGGGAATTGGATGAAGATGTTCAAAAGGTACAAACTTCTGGACTTCCCTGGTGGTACAATGGTTTTAAGAATCCGCCTGCCAGTGCAGGGGATACAGGTTCGAGCCCTGGTCTGGGAAGATCCCACATGCCACGGAGCAACTAAGCCCGCGAGCACAACTACTGAAGCCCGTGTGCCTAGAGCTTGTGCTCCGCAACAAGAGAAGCCACCGCAATGAGAAGCCCACGTACCGCGAAGTACAGTAGCCCCCTCTTGCCGCAACTAGAGAAAGCCCGCGCGCAGCAACGAAGACCCATCGCAGCCAAAAATAAATAGAAAAATAAATAAATTTATTTTAAAAAGGTACAAACTTCTAGTTCTATGATAAATAAGTACTAGGGATGTAATGTACTACATAATTAACACTACTGTATGGCATATTTGAAAGTTGTTAAGAGAATAAATCCTAAGAGTTCTCACCACAAGGAAAAAAACATTTTTTCTTTTTCTGTTTTTTTGTATCTATATGACATGATGGATGTCATTAAACTTATTGCGGTAGGTAATCATTTCACAATATATGTAAGTCAATTCATTATGCTGTATACCTTAAACTTACACAGTGCTGTATGTCAGTAATATCTCAATAAAACTGGGGGTTGGGGGGAGTGATCAGATACCAAGAGTGAAGGATTTTCACTAAACTCACGCAGCAGGATTCTTGTTGAAACTGGACTAAGTGGGCCAAGCACAGAGCCCAAGGTCGAGACCTTTTGGAGAAGAGGGCTTGGAGAAGGCTGCCTTGAGTTTGGTCAAGAAGGGTTGTGCCCCTAATTTCCGCTCTGTGGCAAAGGGCACAGCCGCGGCTTGGCTACTGGAAACCTCCAGCCCTTCGTGTGCATCTTTCCCTCTAAACCTCTGCCTGAGCCTGGCAGTCAGTCACAAAATAAAGGATGAGGATCACATCATTAGGTGTATTAATGCTCTGTTTGCCCTTTCGCTGTTGTAGGTGTTTAACCTGCAAAGAGTTGGTTAAGGTTAAGCAGTAGATGAGGAGATGCCAGAGGCTTGATACACTGGGGCCAGCAGGTAACAGGGCCTGCTTCCAGCGCCTGTCCCCACCCCCACCCCCACTTTCACTTACACACACGCTGTCTCCTTCAGCTTTGCTGAATTTCCTGCAGTTTCAGACACACCCAGCGCTCTCAGCCCCAGGCCTTTGCTCAAACTCCTCCCCGAGATACCCTCTCCCTCCCCCAGTTCAAGGCTCGCCTCTTGTGATGTAAGCCCTGAGATTTTTTTTTTCATGCAAATGTGCTTTATTTCTGTAATTTAGAAGAGACCTTTTGATTTAGGGAATGGGAGCTGTGTTTCAGTTCATACATATTGTCACACACTTCCCCAAGGGGGAGCAATTGACAGGCCACACGGGGGTCCTGTTATATGACACCCTCATCCAACTGGCCCTTGAGACTGGACCAGGTGCCCTTCAGGACAGAAATGAACGATGGGCTGCCCACTGATCTTGCCTGCTGGTCCTCCTCACCTTCATCCCAATCCAAAGCCTTGATTTGTGACACTGTGGAAGATAAGGGACTAAGAGAAAGGCCTGAGATTAAAATCCAAAATTACGTGTGCTTTGACGTCTGGTAAAATCCAGAGAGCCTCAGATGTCATAAGTGCCAGGCCCCTCTGCACCCTGCTCCCTCATATAAGGTCCCTAGACAAGCAGCCCTCCTGGTCTCTGGGACCAGCACGGTGCCTGCATACCCCTGAGGAGCCAGCTTCAGTTCCCTGCCAGCCCTCAGAATTACTCAAACAATCCTATCACATCCTGCTGCGGGGACCAGGGGTCACCCGCCCTGGTGTTACTGCAGAGCCCACCTCCCACAGTCCTTCCTCGTTCACTCCAGTTCCTAGGGCAGCCCCACGCGGCACAGTGTGCTTCTCCCCGAGCCTGCGAGTGTTCTGTGACTAAGGAACGGCCATCAACCTCATCTGCCCAGTGTCACCTGTTGTGTGTTGAGCCACTGCATAAGCCCAGGGCGGGAACCCTTCCCTCACATGTAGGGTGAAGAGGAAGCGATCAGAACACCTCCTCTCCTAGCTTGTGCAGTGCCTTTTCTCCGTGTCCCTATTCTCTGTCCCCGTCACTGCATGGTTTGAGCTCGCTACAGTATGAACCACCAGCAGCAGACTTTGTGTCCTGGTCGCTGCTGCATTCTTGAGACCTAGCATAGAGGCGTCTATACGCTACAAAAAAATTGTTGAATTAAAGAATGAATGAAGGGGACTTCCCTGGAGGTCCAGTGGTTAGACCCTGTACTTCTAATGCAGGGGGCATGGGTTCGATCCCTGGTCAGGGAACTAAGATCTCACATGCCACGTGGCCAAAAAATAAATAAATGAAAAATTTTTTAAAAGAAGAATGAATGAATGGGGTTATTTTTGTGAATGTCTAAACACCCACTAATCCCTTAGCTCCTAAAGCATTGACCTTTTACTTGTGATATTTTCTTAGATTTTGGCTACACTAGATAGTATATTTCACCTATTGTATCTATGTGTTTTTTTAATTATTAATTTAATTTATTTAATTTATTTATTTTTGGCTGCGTTGGGTCTTTGTTGCTGTGCGCGGGCTTTCTCTGGTTGCGGCGAGCAGGGGCTACTCTTCGTTGCGGTGCGTGGGCTTCTCATTGCGGTGGCTTCTCTTGTTGCGGAGCATAGACTCTAGGCACATGGGCTTCAGTAGTTGTGGCGTGCAGGCTCAATAGTTGTGGCTTGCAGGGTCTAGAGCGCAGGCTCAGTAGTTGTGGCACACGGGCTTAGTTGCTCCGCAGCATGTGGGATCTTCCCAGACCAGGGCTCGAACCTGTGTCCCCTGCATTGGCAGGCAGATTCTTAACCACTGAGCCACCAGGGAAGCCCTGTATCTATGTTTAACTTTATAGAGAAAACTTTTACTTTCACTATGATGTTGTTTTCTAGTTAGGTCATGGCAGGCAGTCGGCTAAGGACAGGCTGGACGCCTCTGCCTGGTCTGCCGGTTGCGTCTGGCCTTTCACAGAATCTCCGCCCAGCGTGTGTCTGTGTGTTATCTCATTAAATAGCTAATCCTGTTTACTGGCCTGTCCTTTCTCTGGGGACAGCCTTTCATGGGAACCCTTTGTCCCTGGCCCTGGAGGGATCCTAACTCTAAGCATTAACAGTCTATTGCTTCTCTTTATGGCTGAGTAATATTCCATTGTATATATGTGCCACATCTTCTTTATCCATTCATCCGATGATGGACACTTAGGTTGGAGGGGGAAGGGTAAGCTGTGACAAGGCGAGAGAGTGGCATGGGCATATATACACTACCAAATGTAAAATAGATAGCTAGTGGGAAGCAGCCGCATAGCACAGGGAGATCAGCTCGGTGCTTTGTGACCACCTAGAGGGGCGGGATAGGGAGGGGGGGAGGGAGGGAGACGCAAGGGGGAAGAAATATGGGAACATATGTATATGTATAACTGATTCACTTTGTTATAAAGCAGAAACCAACACACCATTGTAAAGCAATTATACTCCAATAAAGATGTAAAAAAAAATAAAAATAGACTATTGCTTTGTGCTGCTCAGACCAATCAGATCACTCAGCTAATTTTTGACCATTCATACCTTTTCTAAGTAATGTGAGAACAGTAGTTAAAGGGAGAGAAGAGGGTTTGGGGGTTTTTTCCCCTCTGGTTATTTGAGATCTTAGGACCAGCACAAATTACTTTGTTAAAGTAAAAAGGAAAGAGAGACAAAGAGGTGGGGGGGGAGGGGGGAAGGAAGGAAAGAGAGAAAGAAAGAAGGAAGGAAAGAAGAGAGAAGGAGGGAGGGAGGGAGGGGAATATGACTTCACCTAGTTCATGACCCTTGGTCCTTCACTAAAAAGACTATCTGACCTCATGGTGCTTCCTAGAAGTAACCATCCTGATAACGGGTCCTGGAAAGATTTCTTAGGGCACACCTGCTCCCTGGTCAGCACAATTTCGCGGTAGCTGTGTTAGTGAATTCTGTCCCTGTAGCAGAGCGAAATGCTCCTTTGTCCATTTAGGGTTCATTCTGTAGTCCAGGCTGTGTTACTCTCCTGCCCTCCCCTCCCTGCTGCCTCCTCAGCACTCAAGTCCTCTTCAATCACTAATAAACATGTGTTTTTTAAACATTATAAACATTTCCTTAATAATAATTTTCCCACATCTAACTAATACAGACTTTACTTTGAAATTTTGACATAAGGAATTATAATGCATTTACCAAGATAACTATTAAAGATTATCTTTGCAAAGTCTGACTGTGTCAAACTGATGTAGAATTCTGCTGCTTATGATGAAAAGGGAGGGGTGAAGAGGGCACATGTGTGAAAGCACTTTGGAAAATGCAAATCATTTTACAAATATAACATGATATTGTTATTATTACTTGTGTCCGGTGGCAAATGCATTTTCGTCATAGGGCCTCTCTTGCCTTCCACTAAGGCATTATGAAGACTACAGAGAGAGTGGCAGTTACTCTTATCTCCTCCTAACGGGGAAAAAAAGGTCATTTCCTCTGTCATAAAAATGATTGCCAGATGAGTAACAAAATGTGTTTTGTTTTCAGGGAAAGAATATGGCAAAGCTGATGCAAGATGGCTTTATTTGGATCCAACCATTGTGTCTTTGGAAATTCTGACTGTCGTTCTGGGTGGGTTTCTGGCATTGGTTCTCATTTATGCCATCGTCAAGGAGAAACATTATCGGTAAGTGCTCTTCCCCTGTCCTACGGAAAAGAGGAGGAACGTTAGCTGTCCCAGCGCCAGCGTGACATTTGGAGGGGATAATGACCAGAGTTCTTTGTTAGACAAAAAGTAGACTAGAAACAAAAATTGTTAGATATTAGTTAAGGATCATGGTGCCACCAGGATAATTTCAGACCATTCAAAACTTAAAAAATATGAGAAATATGATTGTATTGGCAACCTAGGTGCTGTATAGACAAGCACGATGGTGACAGCACTGGATGATTTGCCACCAGTATTTTGGAGAATCAAAAGGTAATATTTGCATCCTTTGCCTCCAACTCATTCTAGAAAACTCCCATTCAGCTTGACACAAAGAAAAATGTCTTATGTAATTCTGAGGTAGACATGCAAGATAAATAAGAAATCTTTCCAGAAGCAGGCTGTGGAGGGTATGAGGAAAGCAGAACAGTGAGGAAACGAAGCAGAAAGATGGCGGATTAACCATCCATCAATCAGACCCTGAACTTTGAACTCCGCTTCCTCCCTCCCTTTCCTTCCTGTCCATCTTAGGGACGGGGTGACCTGGGACAAAGAGATTGCTATCCTGGGGATGCTTTCCTGAAACAGTGTCAAGTAGGCACAACGGCATTCCATTTTCCACCATCTTGTATCAAAGAAGAAATCTTATGTAAAGCTTCATCATAAAATTTCAGATTTGAAAGAGACCTCAAAGGTCATTTCATCCACTTTCCCCCACCCAGTTTTACATAGAGAGTTGGCGGGAAGAATTAAATTTCTCCTGGGTGCCTTACATGTCTTTGACTCCATGATCGTGGTTGTAGATTTACTACATGCACCCATTTGTTTATTATTTCAAACATTTAACACATATGCATTGTTGAATATGTGCCGGGCACAGTGCTTTATCTACATATCTCATTTAATCTCCACAATATTATTTGAGGAAGGGACTATTATTATCCCTTTTACAGCAGGTGAAATTGTGGCTCATAGAGAGATTCACATCCAGGTCTCTCTCTACTGGGTCAGTTGTGACCTCACTAAATCTTCCGAAGAATAGGACAGGATACCCAAGAGACCTTCTTTAACTCTGAGGATAATCTTCTAGGAAAGGCACTATTGCTTCTCCAAGGAAAGCATGGGGCTTCATTAATTATCAATTTGCCCCATCAAAGGAGCTCTACGTAAAACCTGAGGTCCAACTTCAGGGAGGTTTTCTGCCATAGAAGGCTGTTGATGCTGCTGGCAGTTTCATCCCTTGTCTCTTTCTCTCTAACAGGCATTTCATACAGATCACCCTGTGTGTGTGTGAATTGTATGGCGGGTGGATGACCTTCTGCCCAGACTGGCTTATGGGAAGCCCCAACCTCAACACCAACAACTGGCTCTACTTTTGGGTCTATCTGGTATTTTTCAATGGTGTTTGGGTTCTGATCCCAGGACTGTTACTGTGGCAGTCATGGGTAGAACTCAAGAAAATGCATCACAAAGGATTCAATTCAGGCAAAAAGTTTCAGTGAATTTTCAAAATCATGAACACCATCAGCGTGCTTTATGAGCCAGAATGAATCAAACCTGTTTGTTGGGCCAAAATGTAATACATTCCAGTCTATACTTTTCTTTTATATTGTCATTCTTGAACAACCTAATTGCTTTCAGTTGAATCAATTTCAAATGGACTGTAAGGCTGACAAGTTTTGGCTGTTGTTTTTTCCAATTAAATGGCAATACAGGGAACAGAGAATACATTTTAACTTGTAATAATAACACATTTAATTATATACTTTTATGGCTAGCATTAATTGTTCAACATTAATAAAGCCAGTTATCAGGAAATGCTGTAGAGCATTGTTATATTAATTTTTAATTTCAAAGAACATGTTGTTGCTTCAACCTTCGATCTTCCCTCCAGTCTTTTGGTTACCAAAGTGAAACCAGGAATGAAATGAGTGCTTCTGTGTTGCATTTGTACTTTATCAAATTTGTGAAGCCAACAAAAATGATAGTGGAAGGAATTTGTGAGTGGGGTAACTCCTCATGGGTGAACAGTGGGGTTTCACACAGATGACTGATTTATATCTGTCCTTTTTTAAGGAGGAAGATTTAAGATACCTTACAAAAATACGATAAAAAGTAAATCAGGAAATAGGAACATAGGGAAAATGAGTGAGAGACAAAAGATGAAGGTAAAATTAATATGCAAAATGCATGCCGTGACGTCGTATGTAACTGATAGAAGTGAAGCATAAATTTAACACTTACCTTCAGTACCAAGAGGGAGGCATGATCGCCCTATGTTTCAGAATACACTCGTTTTGGCAGATGGCTATAGCACTTCCGTCAGAGGTGGGGAGCAGGTACTCACATTAACTGGTTCAACGCTTGACTTTCTTACTAGCCTGTTAGCTCACAGATGTATTCTCTGCCTAGAAGGGTGCCCGGCCTATACACCAGGCACTCGCTTGGTTGCGGTGGATGCTGTCATTTTGCTCAGTCGGAATTCCCCCTCCTTCTAGGTGTCCTCTTATCCTCCAGAGAGCTGCAGGTTGTGGTCCTGGATGCAAAATTGCTGTCACCTTTCAGAGGTACTTGTGAGCGGTTTGGAGGGTGAAAGCATGGAGACCGTTTTCAGCTGTTCCTTTTTTACTTTTGCTGTTTTGTGGCGACAGGTAATGTCTATGACTATGGAAACGTGAGGGTTTGGAGAGTTAGCACATCGAGCGTTCAACCTCGTGGGTACTGAGAGGCAGTTGTGCTTGGGGCAGTGGGAGTAAAGGGTTTGTGGGCTGAGGAGCTCCAGTGGTGGCCTCACTGGCAGTGCCTGCCTTGGGAGGGTCCATCTTGTGGACATCTGGGAGCCATTCCTAGAAGCTGAGCCAAGCACCTACTCTTGGAGTCCTCCAGTGATTTTTATAAGCATCCTCTATGAAATCCTCCTGCTTAAAACACCTAGAGTAATTGCTGTTTTCTATGCTTTTATCCTGAATGATACCTGACTATGATATTCGTTGAATATTGAGTAAGTCTGGCCAAGTAAGTTTGAGGAATATTACGTTAGCACATTAAAGACTTTAGAAGTCCTGCAGTGAAGAAACTAGATTAACTTGTTTAACTCAGCTTTTCCCAACATATTTAGCAGACCCCTTTTTTTTTTTTTTTTCTTTTTTTTTGCGGTATGCGGGCCTCTCACTGTTGTGGTCTCTCCCGTTGCGGAGCACAGGCTCTGGACGCGCAGGCTCAGCGGCTATGGCTTACGGGCCCAGCCACTCCGCGGCATGTGGGATCTTACCGGACCGGCACGAACCCGTGTCCCCTGCATCGGCAGGCGGACTCTCAACCACTGCGCCACCAGGGAAGCCCTAGCAGACCACTTTAACAAGTAGGATGGTGTTTCATGGAACATCAGATAGGGAGGCACTGAGTAACAGAGTTCCGTTTTCATGAGATTAAAAACAAACCAGGGGCCTCCCTGGTGGCGCAGTGGTTGAGAGTCCGCCTGCCGATGCAGGGGATACGGGTTCGTGCCCCGGTCTGGGAGGATCCCACGTGCCGCGTAGCGGCTGGGCCCGTGAGCCGTGGCCGCTGAGCTTGCGCGCCCGGCAACGGGAGGGGCCACGACAGTGAGAGGCCCACATATCGCAAAAACAAAAACAAAAACAAAAACAAAAACAAACCAGTTGCCAATAAACAATTAAAATAGAATTTTTAAAAATACCATTTACGGGCTTCCCTGGTGGCGCAGTGGTTGAGAGTCCGCCTGCCAATGCAGGGGACGCGGGTTCGTGCCCCGGTCTGGGAAGATCCCACACGCCGCAGAGCGGCTGGGCCTGTGAGCCATGGCCACTGAGCCTGAGCGTCCGGAGCCTGTGCTCCGCAACGCGAGAGGCCACGGCGGTGAGAGGCCCGCATATCGCCAAAAAAAAAGGAAAAAAAGGAAAAAAAATACCATTTACTATAGCATCAAAACATTCTAATATTTAGGGGAAAATGGAAAGATATTAAGGCTTACACAAAAAACAAAAACAACTATAAAACATTGAGAGAAGTTAAATAAGACCTAAATAAGCAGAGAGATATGTCATGTTCATGGATTGGAAGGCTCAATATTGCAAAGAAGTCAATTCTCCCCAAATTGAGCTATATAGATTCAATGTAATCCCAATCAAAATCCCAACAGATTTATCTGTCATTTTTTAAATGATAACAAGTTGATTTTAAGATATTTTATGGCAATGCAAAGGGCAAGAGGGTGAAGACAATGTTGTAGAATCATAAAGCTGGAGGACTTACTCTACCATATTCATCAAGTCTCAATATAAAGCCACAGTAATTAAGGCAATGTGGTATTGGCACCAGAAAGCCAACGGACGGATATACCAGTGGAACAGACTAGAAAGTCCAGAAACAGACCTTCCTGTATATGGACACTGGATTTAGGAAAAAGGTGCCACTGCAGAACAATGGGGAAAGGATGGTCTTTTCAATAAATGGTGCTGGGTCAGTTAGTTGCATGTCCATGTGGTAAAAATGAATTTTGATCCTTACCTCACATCATGCACAATATCAACTCCAGGTGAATTGTTGATTTTAATTTTTTAATTTATTTATTTATTCATTTTTGGCTGTGTTGGGTCTTTGTTGCTGCACGTGGGCTTTCTCCAGTTCTGGCGAGCGGGGGCTACTCTTCGTTGTGGTGCGCGGGCTTCTCATTGCAGTGCCTTCTCTTTGTTGCGGAGCACAGGCTCTAGGTGCATGGGCTTATTGATTTTAATGTGAAAGGCAAACAGTAAATCTTCAAGAAGAAAAAAAAGTAGAAGAATATATTCTTAAAAAGGATACAGAAAGCTGCAATAATTTTGACTGCATTAAAATCAAGTACTTCTGCTCATCAGAATTCACCATTAAGAGAATAAAAAAGGAAGCCAGGGACTTCCCTGGTGGTGCAGTGGTTAAGAATCCATCTGCCAGTGCAGGGGACACGGGTTCGATCCCTGGTCCGGGAGGATCTCACATGCCGCGGAGCAGCTGAGCCCGTGCGCCACAACTACTGAGCCTGCGTGCCAAAACTACTGAAGCCCGCACACCGAGAGCCCGTGCTCCACAACAAGAGAAGCCACCGCAATGAGAAGCCCGCACACCGCAACTAGAGAAAGCCCACATGCAGTAAGGAAAACCCAACGCAGCCAAAAATAAATTAAGAAAAAAAAAAAAAAAGCCAGAAGGTAGAAGACATTTGTAGTACATATAATTGACAAAAGACCTATCCCAATGGGTAAATCAATTAGAGAAAGACAATCTAATAGAAAAGTTGGCAAGATATTTGAATAAATACTTCACAAAAGAGAAGGCAATTCAGGAAATGATAATTAAGGCCACAATAAGATGTTGCTATACACCTATAAAAATGGCTAAAACTAAAAGGACTGACAGTTATGAGGGTTGGTGAAGATGTGGAACCACTGGAACTCTCATACACTGCTGGTGGAATGTAAAGCGGAAAACTACTTTGAAATTAAACTGAACATGTGCAAGCCCTGAAACCCAGCAATCTGACTCTTAGGCATACTTCACAGAAGTGCTTTACTATGTGTACCAGAATGGCAGCATTATAACCCTAAGCCGGAAACAACCTAAATGAGTAAATTGTGGTATATACATACAATGGACTACTGTACAGTGAAAATTATAGGAATGAAAATTAACAACCTACTTCTCGTAACAACATGGATGAATTAGTGATAAGTGAAAGAAATAGTAATAAGTGAAAGAAGCCAGACTAAAAGGATACATATTGTATGATTCCATTTTTGTAATGTAAGGTTCAAAAACAGATAAAACTGTGACGTTAAATATCAGGACAGGGCTTCCCTGGTGGCGCAGTGGTTGAGGGTCCGCCTGCTGATGCAGGGGACGCGGGTTCGTGCCCCGGTCCGGGAAGATCCCACATGCCGCGGAGTGGCTGGGCCTGTGAGCCATGGCTGCTGAGCCTGCGCGCCCGGAGCCTGTGCTCTGCAATGGGAGAGGCCACAACAGTGAGAGGCCCGCGTACCGCAAAAAAAAAATTAAAAAAAAAAGATCAGGACAGAGATTGCCTCTGGGGAAGAGGGTGGGTATAGTGATGGGGAGAAGCCATGAAGGGGCTTCTGAGGTGCTGGCAGTGTTTTATTTTTTTCCTTTGAGCGGTTGTTACAATTTGCGATAATTCATTCAGCTGTACCTTTATGAATGGTGTGCTTTTCTCTATATATGTTATACTTCAATTTAAACATTTTATTTTTAAAGATTCCTGGTATGAAGACCTGAAATATGTCTCCAGTGGGCCCTCATGAAGAGGACGCTATGTCCTTGATGACAGAATTTAGTACAACTCGGGCTGTTTGTAACAGTGTCCCCCACGTGGGCTGAAGGCAGGACGCCAGAGAGAGAGTCTGTAAAAGCCTTTCTATGAGGGATTTTACCCAGTTGTTTCCAGTACTTTGCTCTCTGCTGATCTGGCTCAATCTGAGGGTAAACAGAGTAGAGAAAAATGGATGGGCTGCATA